TACTGCAGAGGCTGCTCCAAGAGGGGAGCTTTCACTCCCTGGCAGTGCTGCAACACCATTTCCCTCTGACATCAGTGCAGGGGTCCCTGTCCCAAGGAGGGGTTTGCAGCTGAGCCATTAGCAGCACCACGGCCTGAGCAGGGGGCATGGGCAGGCTGCCACAGCAATGCCCAGTGCAGTGCTTGGCACTTTATGCACCCTGACCAGGCAGCACTGGTGTTGCTCCGCAGGCGGCTGAAGCAAGCGGCCAGGATGAAGGGCCGGAGCCTGAGGTCAGGCAGCAGGTAAGGGGCCAGGGCGCCCCATCTGCTGAGCCATGGCAGAGCTGGGCTGTCCAGCCCCATCAGTCTCTGCCGTCAGAATGGATCCTGGCAAAAATGGATCCAGATGGAGCAGACTGAGAGCCTGGGCTGTGCCGGCACAGGAGGACAAATCCCACCCCAAGGGACCTGCCTATGCATCCTGGAGTTCCCCATCCCCCATTAGAGATGATCTCTCTCCTAGGCCAACTGTGCCCCAGACAGAGCAGGCCCCATCCAGCACACCAGGCAGGAGTCCTGGCAGAGGGTAGTCAGGATGTCCTGGGAGGGGTGAAGAGGGCTGCAGCATTCTGTGCTGTAGCCCAATGGGGAGCAGGAGGCCTCGGAGCAGAGCCATCTCTCCTGGAAGATTGGGAGGAAGGGCTGTGGAAATGGGCTGCTTTCTGCAGAAAGCAGCAGTAGGGAAGCTGGAAAGGCTGTACACCCCTCCATTCCCAGCAGAGTGGGCTGGTGTGGGCACCAGAGCCCTTGCTTGGCAGTGCTGGGCACCAGTGTGATGGGCACAGCAGTGCCAGCAGTGCTGGGCACCAGCGTGATGGGCACAGCATGGCAGGTCCGGTCCCGAGTGCCACATCTGCTCGGGATCTCTTGTATACTCTGCACATTTGCTCTTGTTGCCTTTCTGCCAGAGCCAGGGGATGGTCTGGCTGCTTTTTCCCTCCATCCCTGAACCCTGCTGCTGGATTTTGCTCCTGAAAGCCACGCGCTGCTTTGCAGGGGCTGATTAATTTGGGGCTGTGCAGCTTCACTCATATGTGGGGCACAGGCTAATCCAGGCTGGAAGAGACCTTTGGGAGTCCTGGTCCAACTCCCCATGTAGAACAGGGCCAGCAGTAGTTCAGCCCAGGACCTCAGCCACTTGGCTTTTGAAACCTTTCAAGGATGGAGAACCTTCATCCCCATAGCCTCTGCTCCAATGTGGAACAGCCCTGACGGGGAAAAGGTTTTCCTTACCCCTGAGCCTGAACCTTGTGTTGCCAGTCACACCTGTTTTCTCTTGTGCTTTTCCCTCTGTGCTGGAAGAAACACACTCCAGCTCTTGGCAGCCCCTCACAGGGTGGAGTTTGGCTGCTGTTGAGCTGACCCAACTCAGCCCCAGATGAACAGTCCCACACACTCCCTCTCCTCCCGCCCCACTGTCCTGCTGCTCTCCCTGGGGTTCATGCCACATACATGACATCTTATTGTCCTGGGGACCCAAAACCAGGTGCAGGATCCAAATATGGTTTCCTGAGTATGAATGGGCACAGATTTCTTCCAGCCACCTGAACCCTGGTTCCTGGCAGCCCCATGCTGCATCCTGGGGCTTGCTGGGCTGTGTGGGCTGATACCAACTCATCAACTCAGGCTTGGTTTTGCCTGATCCATGGGCATGTCAGTCCCTTTTCCTGCTTTGGGCCACTCTGCTCTTCACTCCTTGTGGGCTCTAGGGTTTTGGCTCTGCTTAGCATCTTCCTTTCTGAGGGGAGCAAAACATTTGAGGATGTTGGGACTGCACCAACAGCATGTGTGTGCTGGCCCTGTGCAGCCTCCTCTTCCCCGCACTGCTCAGCCTGTGCCCAGGCAGCTGCTCTCACTGGCAGCGTGTCCTTGCCAGCCTGCAGCGAGTCCCACTGTGCCCCAGGGCAAGTACCCACTGCTTGCGCCACTCACTTGGTGCTGCTTGCCAAGCATCCTGCTCTCTGGGGCATGGCACGGTGACAGTGTCTGGTGTCTGGATGAGCACATGGTCACCTCCTTCTCACACCTGACAGATCAGATTGTGGCCACTGGTGTTTGATCTTTTGCTGTGTGACAGGGCATTGTGGGATGTGGCTGCATCCAGCACGGTTTCCTGGTGGAATGTGTGCAGGAAGCTGCATCATTGCTGTGGAGAGCAGCTGTGTCCGTGGTGATGGCAGATGATGCTGTTGTACTCATGTGTGACACAAAGTGTGTGTGCATGAGTCTTCCTGGAGGCCAGGGTGCCCAGTTCAGCCTTCAGTGAAGCCAGGAAGGCTGTGCTCCCCGTGTCACTGCTGCCGGCAGAGGTGACAGCCTGACGGCTCCATGACGGTTGTTTTCTGTTTTCCAGGCTGGTCTCCAAATCTCAGCCTAAACAAAAGCGCAGGGAGGACGTAGGGCCCAAGAAGAGGTAAATGGCTCCAGTGGAGAGCCTGAGAGCCAGGAGCCCCACACAGTCCCATCGGAGCCATGCATGTCCCTGTGCTGCTGGGGATATGGGACAGGAAGCTGGCAAGGGGTGGGCACCTGACAGGCACCATGTGTCACCCTGGGGACAGGACAAGGGGCACAGCCAGCACGGGCAGACACAGGCAGGGTGGCTGGCAACACCTCTGCTCCCACTAGCCACACTGGCAGTGGCTCAGGGCTCCTCTCTCCTTGCAGGCTCTTCACGGAGCGTCAGCAGCTCAACTACCGCCTGCACTCGGTGTCCTGCACGGGGACAGAGGTGCACCTCTCCATGTGTGCCTTTGAGTTCTACCGGGGCAACACCTCAGCTGCCTGTGGGGCTGGCATGCCTGCCGTGGTCAGCTGCGTGCCTGGGCCCCTCTTCACCACCGGCAGTGCCCACAAGAAGAAACAGCGGCAGCAGCAGCAAGGCCAGGTGAGCCCCATGGGGAGGGGGACAATTCCTGCAGCAGCCCAGAGCCGACACTGCCCCGCAGCTGGGCTCTGTCCCCCGGGCTGCACCCTGGAGTGGGTGTGTGGGTCCCTGGGTGAGCAGTTCTGGAGCAGGAGGTTGGGATGGTGTCCTGTCCCTCCTGTCCCTGCGTATCCCAGGAGTCACGGCCAGCACTGTGCTGTGCCATGCTGTGCTATGCCGTGCTGCACTGTGCCATCAGCACCGTGCCAATCCACCCTCTCTCTGCTCCCCCCAGCCCCGGATCCGGCTGAAGGGTGGCGCGAAGGTCGGCGAGGGCCGCGTCGAGGTGCTCAAGAGCAGCGAGTGGGGTACAATCTGTGACGACCGCTGGAACCTGCTGTCGGCCAGCGTGGTGTGCCGCGAGCTGGGCTTCGGCAGCGCCAAGGAGGCTCTTACTGGGGCACGCATGGGCCAAGGTGAGGGTGCTAGGGCGGAGAGGCCAGGCATGCCCTCCTGGGGCTGCAGAGAGGGCACTTGTCCAGGCTCTGCTGGGCTGGGGGAGCTATAGCTGGGCTTGTCCCATGGGCCCTGCATATGGAGCATCCTGAGGGGACCACTGCCACTGGACCACAGTGCTCTGGGCAGCAGCTGTGGAGGCTTGAATGCGCCAATTCCCGTGGGCCTGCCAAGGAGCAAGGGCAGGCATGGGGACAGGGTGGCCCTTGCCATCCCTTTGTCATGTGGCCCTGAGTCCTGCTGTCCCCTGGCAGGAACGGGGCCCATCCATCTGAATGAGGTGCAGTGCCGGGGCACCGAGAAGTCCCTCTGGAGCTGTCCCTTCAGGAACATCACACAGGAGGACTGCAAGCACACGGAGGACGCGGCTGTGCGCTGCAACATCCCCTACATGGGCTACGAGAACCTGGTGCGACCCGCGGGGGGCTGCCAGTTCTGCAGGGCTTGGAGCAGTGTGCCGGGGAAGGCTCATGGGACCCTCAGTGCAGGGACCCCTCATCTCTCCTCCTCTGCACTACACACATTTCCCCCTGCTCTGAGGCTAGGGCTGCCCTAGGGGCTCAGGGATTTTGTGGGTGGGAGTCCTAGCCAGCTCTGTGAGGACGAGGGTGGAGGGGAGGGCATGGGGGTCTCTGGGCACTCTGTGGTGCCCCTCTGTGAGGGGTGGTGTGGGGTAGCTGCTCCCTGCTGCTCTCCCTGCTGCCAGCTTGTGCCTGCTCCCCATCAGAATCACCAGAAAAAAAATCACTGTGAGCCAACCCGGAGAGATTTTTTGAACTGTGATGAAAGGAGCAAACGGAGCCACCTGTTCCTGGCCCTGGCCCATCCTTTCATCCACTTTGAGCTTTTTAACGATTTTTAACCCTCTCATACCTGTCATTTCTGAAATGATGCCATTTCAAAATGAACTGTTTTCCCTGCTTTGGTGAGACAATTCCCAAACACACAAGCAATTTCTTGTCCCCAAATCTGCCAGTTTTGATGAGCTCCCTGCTGACCAAAGCTGTGCCTGGCTCTGCTTAGTTCCTGCCTGCCCCTTCCCCACGTGCCCGAAGGGCCTGGTCCAGGGCCCATCAAGTGCTGCAGCACAGCCCTGGCTGCACCAGGCAGGGGACTGGACATGGTCCTGCAGGATTCAGCCCCACAGCAGGAGCATCACTTGTGATGGCAATGATGCTGCCACTGCCTTTCTCCGCAGATTCGGCTGAGCGGGGGCCGAAGCCGCTTCGAGGGGCGGGTCGAGGTGGCGGTGGGGGCTGGTGATGGGGACCAGCCCCGCTGGGGTCTGGTCTGCGGCGAAGGCTGGGGGACACTGGAGGCGATGGTGGCCTGTCGCCAGCTGGGTCTGGGATTCGCTAACCACGGCTTACAAGTAGGTGCCA